TGCAAGGTATTTTGTAAATTATATCATTTTGTTTAATTGAGTCCACCGGGTCTTTAAGCCTACAGAGCTTGTCTTTGAGTGAGTTTTTATATTTGAATGCCACCCTGATTCCTGCTTTATTAAGAATCCTACGTAGGAAGGGTCTCAGATGTCCCCTCCTTATATGATATAACAGCAGATGACTTACATTCTCTCTTATTTACGTTACCATTACTAGTTTCACAATTATTTTTAGTTTGCTTTTGACTTTTTTCAATCTTCCTAATGAATTTTATAGGATAGTTATTTAGCACCAACGCCTCTTCTATCTGTTTTATTTCATCATTTAAGTCATCATTGAAAATTAAATCTAGTGCTCACTAGTGACTGACTGACTGACTTCAGGATAAAGTTCGTTGAAGTTCTACTGTGGATACAATGCCCAGGGGGGTCCGCCTAGTTGACTGTGAGGGCAAATAAATACTCACCCCGGTGAAATCGACTGGGGGTCACGATAAATATCGCGATTTGGAAGAAGTTGAAATTTATGGGCTACTGGATTCCGTCTGAATAGCTGAATCATCACTCTGTAACCTGAAGGTCTTGACTTTGGTCCTTGGAGTTAGGGATCTACGAAACTAGTTAGTTAGGCTGCTTGAACGACTTTGAGTTCGTTACCGGTTTAGCTTCAGCTAGAAATAAAGGTCATGATTATTGTGTGGTCATCTATCCTGCTAGACCTGACCGTATAACCTCACCTAACTTGATAGCCAGGCTGCTCCTAACACCGTCTGAATTAGTGAAGGGAGAATGTAACACAAATGATTATACACGGAAATATTTATTAACGATGGTATGAAGAGAGTACGCAGTTGCATAATCGCGCACCAAAACGCAGCAGCCCCGCTCTTGTCCCTTGAAATCCCAATAATCTGCGAACTGATCCAGTCTGCACAGATAAACAAACTGACCGTTGAACGCGAAACGCCTGCGATCCAAATGAGTTGATGAAATCCCTTGATCCCCTACAGGATTATGATTGCATACTACTGAAGAGTGATTAAGAACGGCTAAACAGTTGCTTAATAAATAATCTGTTCTGATTTTTGTTGGTTTTCTAACTGGAGTCGGTTTCGTTGTCTGTCAGTCAACGAAATCCTTGCAAACCATTAGCCAATCTACTTTATGAAGACGAAAAACATTTCACGATTGTTGATTTGTGATTCTGTTGCTGGAGTTTTTTTTTTCCTCCACGTTCCCCAGTGGAACATAGGGCTTCAAGCTAGTGGCTTGAAGTTTCTGTAGCAGTGTTTATTTTACAGGATGGGGTTGCTAGCTTCATGCCCAACCTTTCCTCTTCACCAACATTATTTCTGGCTTAACGAGGTAAAGGAGTGCGTCGGCCGGGGATCGAACCCCGGACCATGTGCATGGTCGGCGAGCATCCTAACCGCTATGCCACCGACGCACGTTGGTTTCGTGCTAGTTGGCTCTCTTCAGCAAGGCGTATCTGCAGCCTTGAAGGAACTCATGTCCCTTCTGAGACTCGAACCCGCGTCACCCAATGCTGCAGTCAGAGACGTTACCACTGAGCTATTCGGGCTCGTTGCTGGAGTAGTGTACAATAATGAAGGGTAGGATTTATAGCTTAGGCGAATGATACTGATGTTGTTGTATTCTCTGAGCTATGCATAGGTTAATTAGGAAAAAGCTTTTATTATCTTTTCAGATAATAATGTCGTCAGTGCTAACTTCAGTATGAAGTAGGAATGTATTGGGTAAACTAATTAAGTTAAGCAATAGGGATAGATGGTATGCACATTGTTCACAAAAATAAAGTGCGCTCTTTGCAAGAAGTGTACTCACTGCATGAAGACATTGCTTTTAGTACTGCTCTGCGGAACAGTGTCCATAAAAACTGTTATCTAGGTGCCTAGTGACTAACAGTAGAACTCAGAATGCGCATTTCATCCTATTAAGGACTCCTCACCTGGATGTACCTGCATTTCCAGTGAGTGGTGGTTTTCCATACCATGACTCGAACCCTGCACCCATCATTCAAAATACTCCCAAAAAGGACGAAATACACATCCTGGATTCCACTGCTAGTTACCACCAACCAAAACGCTTCACCTTAATCCTTAGGCACCATCAAAGCTTGTGTGCAAGAACCTGACACTTCAACAGGGACCAGGTATTTGGCTTATTAAAAACCAGTTGACAGGGAATGTGAAACGCCTATGATTTCATTCTGAGTCAATCACAGTAGCAAAGAAAAACCACCGCACTTCTTTGTTTACCCTATTTTTCCCCTCCTTTTGTTTTATTTTCCAAGTTTTTACAGTTCCCACAGTTATACACCTTTTCCCACTAATGACTCTCTCCTCTTCTAATACATTCATTTTAGTTGATAAATTTTGAGACGTTAGACAGTTATAAGTGGTAGTGTGGCCAGAAAGAATCAGTAACAAAAAACTCTGGTAACAAACCAGTCAAGAGCTTATCGCTCAAAATAATATGTAGGAAAAATGGAGATGGATTGGGCATACGTTGAGGATACCGTCGAATGACATCACGCGCCAGGCCATAGCTCGATGGGAGGCGACGAGTGTGTAGTCGGTGCAAGGGTGACATGGAGGAGATCGTGTGGGGAGGAGTTGAGGGATTATGGCCAATCGTGGATCCAGCTGAAGAAGACAGCTGCAGATAGAACAAAGTGAAGATGTATTGTTGGAGCCCTATGTTCCACTCGCAACCCAAGAAAATAATATATATATATATTACTTATCAGCAGTGGTGTTGGAACTGCAAACATCGTGTCCTAGGCTTACTTCGCCAATTAGTTGAGGTTTCATTACGCGTCAGCGAAGGGAATCGAACCCAGACTATGCGTTAGCGAATATTCTGCTACCGAACCACTAAGGCACCTCAAAGATAGACATAAGTAGTTTTTTTTTTCTTTTCTTCACGTTCCCCAGTGGAACATAGGGCTTCAAGCTAGAGGCTTGAAGATTCTGTAGCAGTGCTTATTTTACAGGATGGGGTTGCTAGCCTCATGCCCAACCTTTCCTCTTTACCAGCATTATTTCTGGCTCGGCGAGGTAAAGGAGTGCGTCGGCCGGGGATCGAATCCCGGACCATGTGCATGGTTGGCGAGCGTCCTAACCGCTATACCACCAACGCAGACATAAGTAGTAATATCTAGTAAAAACTTTGAAAAGTCAATGATAATTTGTCTGTCAACAGAAAAGCCATTAAAGAAGAATGTGATAGACGATAGACAATGTCGGACAAAAAAAATTTCTACCACTAAATGAAGGCTAATCTTTATAAATCATGAAATCAGTGCATAGTCTCTGATTTTCTCAGCGTCCATTTTATTTTGCCCCGAGGAGACATAAATTCTTCCCTCATCAGTCTTATCCTCCTCAATCCTTTTTAATCTGTACTGTCCATTTACCAGAAAATTTATTTTTATAGACATTTTTCAGCATTTATTTATTATTTATCTGAAAGAAAGCAGTGTAAATGCTAAAAATAAGTTAAATTTTCGTTTCCTCCGTCTGCTTTTCTGTCTCTATGGGAAGTTTAGGATGACTGTGAACATGACAATCAAATGAGACTCGCTTGGATCGCGAAATGATTAGTGGACTGTGCTGTTGGATTTTTCGACTGAACTGTCACCAAAAATGTGTCGTCTACTAAGTGAAACACTTTCTTTCTCATTCCTTTGCCTTCTTAGTAGAAAATAGCGCTTTAAGGATGAGCTTTTTGAAGTTTCGGCAGCGGTGATGTTTTTTATGGGGGAGGGGGTTGCTAGTCTTACTTTTTTTATTATAGCTTGATTCCACACCACATTTTCGGTACAAGTATGGAATTTTCACCATGTGATATTAGTAGCCCAAATTTTGCATGCCGACCATTGATATCATGTGTGTGTTGGCAGGGGATCGAACCCTGGACCATGTGTATGGTCAGTGAGAGTCCTAACCACTGTGCCACCAACGCAACCTTCCTTTCTCCACAGGCTTACTACTGGTCAGGCAGTGTTCAGGAGATTATCGGCCGGAAGTCGAACTCGAACCATCTTCTTCTGGTTGACGAGCATTTCGCCACTGAACCAACAACTCTCCTCGGTTACATTATAACCATATATTGTATATAAAGACACACTGATCAGTAACAGATCACAGATTAGAGTTTAAACATTCAAATAACATCTGTCAACCAGTTTCTTTCATTGTTTTATGAATTCGCCTAAATGTATTCTGTCAGAAATACAGTTAGGGTCGTAATACTCTGGAACCAGTTCAACTGCTTGCTTTGCCTTCCTACGTTACTACCACTGCTCATAGGATACACATTTTGAACTTTTGGTTGCATAATTTTACCATATTACTAAATACTTTCATTCGACAGTTATTTGTCAGATATGGGTATTACCTTCTGTGCGTTTTTTGTTCACTTTTTGTATCCCTTCGCTGTATGACAGGCAGTCGTTCAGGTGCTTTTTTTTCAAATGTACTGCACTGTAGGTAGGTAGGTTGATTTATGGAATGTAACGATAGATGGTGGAGGAGGAGGGCATCATAAAGAACCACTAGAACATTGTTTCTAAAAATAAAAATGACAGTTATTGAACATCAAGAAGAGAGATCATCTGATTGTATAACTCACAGAATATATAGGTTGTACGCCTACAGGTTAATGACAAAAGACTGACACAAGTGTTTTTGCACATTTGTGGAATTCAAACATCATGAGTGTTCCACAGCATCCTTCCAAATGGTTTTTTGTGTGTTTGTTTAATTTTTTTCGTTAACATTTTTATTCAAATGTCATTTTCAGTACTGATATTAGTTCAGTTCTCCTTTTTTTGGCCAACTGATTGTAGTGTTCACACTTGTGTGTATATGTTAAAGTGTGTATCATAGAAAACCGTCAGAAACTCATTAAAAAAATATGTTTAATAATATTTCCCTGATTGACTGCTTCATATTTTTTTTAAATTCCTGAAGTAGATGTTATTTATGTTCAATGTTCATTGAATATTTTGTTTTTTGTTTTAATGTAATCATTGTACACATTTAACAAATGGTAATAATGTTAACAGGATATTTCAGATCTGTGTGGGTGTATGTGTAATATTCTCCTAATTTAATCAATTTTAAAAGTAAATCAGTTATTTCTGATTGATAATGACAAGCAGTAAAATCCTCCAGGATGCACGTTTCGTCCTACATGGAACTCATCATCTGGATATACCTACATCCCCAGTGAATGATGGCTTTCCCACTGAAGCACTCATCGTTTTGAATACCAAAATCACTAAACCAATGAGTCATGAGAGTCGGCCTTTTGTGCAATAGGTATCACTTTTTATTTTGTTGAATCTTCTGGTGATTGATTTAATTGGATCTAATGCTTCGTGTCAAAACTTAATTATCACAACAAATAGTAAATTAGTATTTCGATTGAACACTAGTAACTAGTGTGACGTGTCTAGTCCTTTTTTTCGTGCAGACTGAATTCTATCAATCAGGTATTTGCAATGTGGCCACCATTCTAGGTATCTCGCCATCACGGTGCACATTGATTTGATGATATTAGATAGTTGGAGGCAATCCGCAGGAAGCCTTGCTCGACCCAGGTTTCGTGCTAGTTGGTACTCACCAGTCAGCAAGGCATATCTGCAACCTTGATGGTACTCATGTCCCTTCTGAGATTCGAACCCGCGTCATCCAGTGCTGCAGTCAGAGAGGTTACCACTGAGCTATTCGGGCTCAGTGGTATATCTAATATCTGTCTAATATCATCAAACCAGTGTGCACCGTGATGGCGAGCTACCTAGAATGTTGGCCACATTGCAATCCTGACTGATAGAATTCGGTCTGCACCAAAGAAAGGACTAGACACGTCATACTAGTTACTAATGTCCAATCCAAATACCCACTACAGTCCTACAGGAGGTCGATCGCGAGCCCGAATAGGTCAGTGGTAACCTCTCTGACTGCAGCACTGGGTGACGCAGGTTGGAGTCTGAGAAGGGGCATAAGTTCCTTCAAGGTTGCAGATACGCCTTGCTGATGAGTGCCAACTAGCACGAAACGTAGGTCCAAGGCTTCCTGCCGACTGCCTCCAATTATCTAATATCAGTAAATTAGTATATTAATTTATCTGTTAACCTTGTTTGAATTCCTGAATATATCTGTTAATTTAGCATGTTGTGATAAATTCTCAGTGGGAAGTTTTTAACTTTTGAGGCTTTATTTTTACACAAATTTCATGCATTTATTCCCCTTGATGAATTTGAATAAAGCAAGAACAACAGTGGTTTGTGCAAAAAGCTCTTCTTGTCCTCATAAACTGGAGTAAGGTCATTCGGCTGATATATAAATCATTGAAGTATCCAGTTGAGCTAATGATTAGTGTTAGATGTTTAAGAGGGGTCAACAGGATATTCAGCAGACGTTTTGGTTTCGTGCCTGTTAATCCTCTTCAGTCAAGTGTATATACAACCTTCAGTGAAATTATATATAAATTATGGAGAGATTCTAATGTTCAGTATTGAAACGTCAGATATATTACAATATGCTTTCAGCAATGTATTAACCTTGAATGGTGTTTGGATATACATATATATATATATATATAATACGTAATCTCCATGGATTATCTTGACTACCAATAACTCGAAACCATTTCTGCAACATTCACTTAAGTGGCATGCGTATTTATTGTCAGTACCTTACTTCAATAGTTGAATCCTTTTTATGACTTTCTGGTCAGATAAGATGTGCTTTTCTTTTTGAAAATCGGATCTATAATCTGTCGATCACCTCCAAGCCTGTTCTACTCATTGCATTAATAACTCTACATAAGTAACTAACTATCCTGCCAAGTAACAGTCCTTCAACTGTTTTTCTTTCATTCCCTTGTGTTCCAAATGAAACATGGAGCTTCAACTTTGAAATCTCAGCGCCGGTGGTGTTGTTTTATTTTGTGGTGTAGGTTTTCTGGCCTTACGCCCGACTTACCTTCTTTTCCGGGCGTACCACCTACTAGTCGACCAGGTAAGTTTCAGGAGTATGTCAATCGGGAATCGAACTCGGATTATGTGCCTGGCTGCTGTGCATTCTTCCACCAGCTGAAGGCTGGCAACACCTGCTTTCCCTAGCCGGTCATCCACACAAGTTTTACCCCAGTCGAATGCCATTTGTCATAGGTGATGAAATGAGAACCGGTGTTTTCAACGGGGTATGGTTAGCGACACCTATAGCGTGAATGATTATGTGATAGTACTGAGACCCGTGGATTTCAGTAGATAGTGGACAGAGTAACACGGATTCACAATAGTTTTATCATCTAGTTTGTGGTTATCTCCAAGAAATAGATACAGAGAGCCAAATTTGAAAATTGTTTCTAGAAGATAAACCGCATAAACCTCTATGATGAAGCAACGTATACCCAATGGCTGAATAGTTCAAATAATAAGAAATAATTTAATTATTATGTTTATGAAATGGACAACCTCCCAGATTGACGCAGTTGACTATTTGAAGCAATTAGTGCGCTTTATGAATTTCTACAAAACAATAAGAAGATGCAGTCTACCTTAAAAAGCGTTATGTATTTGTGCAACACATTTCGAACAATCTGATCAAACACGTACTTATCCTAAACGTTCAAATGGAAGGCAAGTGACCATAAAGTATGTGTTGCACAAATACATTAGACGTTTCAGATAAATCGGTTTTATAGTTGACTATTTTCAAAGACCACTTATCCCACACTTAATGGGAGTTCTCAACTACTAGGTAGTAGAGTGATATTAAGAGTTCTATTCCCATGGTTGCTCCAGACAGAAACAATTGCTTACATCTTGTTCACTGCCTTCAGACCCTTAGAATCAGGACTTTCCAAATCTTCTGGGCAATCATTTTGTCTGGATGGAGGATTTCATCATGAGTTGACATCAGTTGGAGAACCACTGGAAAACCTGGGAGTACTGAACAGCTGTTTCGTCAGCCCAGTTTGGGGCTCTTTATCAGTATGCACCCACAGCTAGGGTTCGAACCCAGGACCGTCTGGTTACAAGGCGAGCTCGTAGACCATTGAGCCACTGGGACCCAATCCAACAGCCCGTGAATTCTAACTCCTGTTAATTGATGACATAGCGCGACCATTTCGCAATCATTTTGTCTCTAGTAATCCGATCACGGGAACTATCCATTCTCATTCACCCTTTTACTCTTGTAAATACACTTCGTAGTCATCGATAGGACTTAACTCAAAATGCTTTTGAATGCATAACGACTTGACAACATTTGGACTGGAGGACTGGAGTACATCCGTGTTCAACTATACTATCTATCTCATTTTTAAACTGGTCGAATATTTGCAGATAGTCAGTGCGGGTGATATCACCAAGCCTTAGTAAACGAGTCTAAAAAGCTTGAGAATATTCGAGATACTGTCATATGAATATCTGCATGGAATAATAATAACAATAACTCGAAGGATTTTTCACCGTTTACACTTTTTTCCCATAGCTCAACTGATAAACTTTCTAAGCTGTAATTCAGAGACCGCTGGTTCGCATCCTCCAGCTAATCAGCTTTCCTATATGATGGAGAAGATTTGTAGCTGAGGTGGATGATTTTGATGTGGTTGTGTTCTCTGAGCTGGATAGTTAATTTGCGAAGCTTTCATTGTTCGTCCTACTAGGCAACATCTTCAGTGCATACTTCAATCTATTGAAGTGAGCTTTTAGATTCCTCTACGAGTTTATTAGTCATCATCAATTCGACTGGGACAACCAGTGTTCAAATATTGGAAAGAGGAAAGACTAAGGATGCCAGGGAACTTTTAGAAGCCTGATATTCCAGTGAATCGTCAATCAGTAGACACATCGAGATAGACAAAATTTACCAATCGATAAGAAGGAAATCTCACACATAAAGGATCAAACTTCAGGTCGAAGAAACAATCACTTCCAATAAAAGAAGCCTAGAGGGTGTGAAAACACACAAAAACAGCCAATCACATTCAAGGTCAACACCAGGAGAGATGACTAATAAACTCGTGTAGAAATCTAAAATCTGACTTCAACAGTTTGAAGTATGCGCTGAAGATGTCGCCTAGTAGGACGGGCAATGAAAGCTTCGCAAATTAACTATCCATCCAGCTCAGAGAACACAACCACATCAAAATCAGCTTTCTATTTTATTCTTATTCATCAACTTTTTCTACATCAATATTAGTTTGTCAGCCAAAGAATATCTCAGACAGTTTCTATATATCGTATATATATATATATGTGCACATTGAGAAATTATTTCAGATTCTATCTCCTATAATTGATTCCTAATAGAAGTGGTTGCTTTAATAAGAGAGACAGTTAAAAAGTAGTCTGTGAACTGTTGGTATGTGTGATTGTGTGCTGGCTTGTCTCCCTGTATGCGAGTGTTTATACTCTATTTAACTTTTCTTGATTTCATTTATTTCCCTTATTCAATCTATGCGTGTGTGTGTGTGCGTGTTTATTTGATGAGTAGGCAAGTGAAGAAAATCAACTGGATGAATTGTTCTTGTTTCTCTTACCTCGATTTTGTTTTAATGACTACTTCACTTCTCCAGTCACTCCGTTGTCGCTTATTCTCTTCTATCCTCCACTTAATTTCACGAAGATGCAGTTAGAGATATTTCGTCTATTCTCCACTTATTTGTTTGTTAACCATTGATGACTAGTTTATACAGTATAAATTTTTAGGCCTTACTTCCTGTTGTGTTTTCTTAACTTCCACTCCACTCTCCTTTTGGCTCTTCATCATTTTCCCTGTCTCTCTCCTCTCCCTCTCCCTCTCCAGCTACCTTCCTCCTGTCTTCTACTCAAACTTTCTAGTCATTGTTGAGACACTGGTTTTCTCAAGTACCTGTATATATATATAGTCCTTTAAGTTTGGCAGTGAGAGAATTCTATCAGTCAAGTTCGAAACATAACCTTCAAATTATGAGACCCGCCATGGAGGTAGAGTATAAATAAGTGTGAGGTCAAGGTGTCTGCTAATTGCCTTCAACTACCCAAGAGCCCAATAACACAATAGTATACGGACTATTTAGGTTTGTGTTTAACCGTGGGAGATTATATAATTTGTAATTATTTATACTTCAATAAGAGTCATTATTATCCTTGTGGTTACGTAAGTGATTCACACACGTGTACTGTGAAGAGGGAAAGTTGAGTTTGAGACTAGTCACCTCACGCCGTAAAAACAACCAGTGCTAGTGAAACTTCGGAGCTCGAGCTTGAAGCCCTATCTCCCACTCAGAACATAAAAGGAAGGAGAAAAACTAATTCTAACAAGTTCTCATTGTGTGTTTTTCTTCAAATAAATGGAACTAAATAAAGAAGTAACTGAAGGCATATTTTAGATTGTCTCCTGTCATCAAACTGACTAAAATCAAAGCTGGGAGAGGTAAACTTTCGTCATAGTTACTAGCTACAGTAATTTAGATAAAGAGCTGATTTTAGCATTGAACCATTGAAAACCTCCACAGGATACTGGACGACTCTTCAGAAGTACTCACTTATGATCACACCAGTCTATCGGATTACATACTGGTCGATTGGTTCACCTTGTATTCTGAAGGTCGCGGGTTCGATCTCTGGAGAAGGCACCACAATTGCATATTGCTGATAAGTCCCAGATAAGAACGAAACAACTTTCCGTTACACCCTTGTTTTTCAATGGTCCTCTAACTGAAGTTAATTGCTGATTAAACTTGCAACTAGTCAAATCTCTGCAAGGCGGCACTTGAAGGTCAGAAGTTAGTATTGGTTTTCACTCTTCAGACAAGTTACTTACTGCATTCCTATACCCAACGCAAGTGGCAGCATTGTTATAAATGCCAGTCATATCAACCCATTTGAAATTTTGTCGATGTTATCGAACCCGGGAAGAAGTACTACTTCACTTTCAATAAAAGTGACTGAGATTTTCATCTCATCTTTAATCATTATCCATTACGTCAGAAACAATAAGAATTCTAATTTCAAAGTGAACACATATTTCCTTCAGTTTGTGTGTATATTTCCACCTCCCCCCCCACTATATTCATTCATGAATAGTACTGATGCACAAATTTAGAATAACCTATTTATTTACGCGAATTCTGATCAAAATATAACTGAATATTTCCACAAAAATTAGGTGCCTAGTGAAAAGTAGACATACGTAAAAATTAGAGTTTCCTGAGATTTATACAAATATAATTTCCAAGTATTCCCTCTCCGTGATTTGTTCAACTTTAACTGACTTCAGGCAGAGAATCACTGAGAAGCAGAACAGAGTAGTACACAGCTGTTTCGGTTTTGTCTTTCGGACTCTTCATCAGCACACACCTATCCTCTGTCAACAGGGATGAAATGTACTACCTTCAGATTATTAGGCTAGCTTGTTGGCCATTCAGCAACTAGGATAGAATTCAATAGCCTGTCAATTCCAACTTCTACCAGTAATTTACTGCTCACTAGTGACTGACTACAGAATGAAGTCGCCTGAAGTTCTACTGGAAGGTGTCGTGACTAGCGAGGTTCACCAAGTTGGGTGTGAACAGTGTTACTCATCCATAATACTGTCTGGAGGTCGCGCTATACATTGTGTATCAGCAGAAGTTAGAATCTATGAAGTGGCCATTGGATTCCGCCCGAATGAATAATTGGTCAGCTAGCTTGCCTTGTTACCTAAAGGTCCTTAGTTCGGTCTCTGGAAGTGGAGTTGTGGGTGTATACTGCTGAAAAGCCACCAACTAGGATGAAATAACTGGCCTGGTTTCCGATGGTTCTCTAACTAATAAAGTCATTTCCAGATAAAACTTGAAATGTAATTTTCATATAATCTATTTATTGCTTAGGACATCTGAATTTTTAAATTGCTTAGCCTAGTTATCAAACAAATTTCGATGATCAATATGCTTATTATCACACTTTCAATTCGTGTCATCATCATATATATATGATTTATCAACTATCATTGCCATTATTTTGCTTTACACAATATGCACAAATCATGCATGAACATAAATAATTTTATAAAACACACGCACACACACACGTACATACATTCACGGATTTGGTTTTCCTTCCTGTTTTGTTTGTTGATTTATTGTCCTCAACTTGTTGTTTTGTAAACAAATTAACGCATTCCAACGTAGATTTCATCACGAACCAGTAGGGCTCACACTGGAGACCTGTTTCGTCCTGGTTTTTGGGACTGGCCTTTCAGCAGTGCACACACCCACATTACCAGGGATTGAACCCAGGATCTTCAGGTGATGGGACCAAGATCGTTGACGATTCAACCTGTGAATTATAACTTCTGCCATTTTATGATATATGTGAATGTGTGAATAATGTGTTTATGACTCATTTATTCATTATTTAAAATGACCTGAAGAAATAAACGCAGAAAAGTAGAATTCGACAGCATTTACATTAAAATACATATGCGTGGTATGTATTTCCTATTCTTAGCGTATGATTGGCTAATTAGCAATCGTTGACCTTGTCTTTATATATGTATCAGTATTAATGTTCACATGCAAAATAAACATTTCTGTGACATTTAATTATTTAAACAAATGAAAAACATTTCAATTTTAGCAATCTCTAACTGATAAGTTTCAAGAATTTTGTACCTATTTGCATGTGTGTGTGTGTGCGGCCGTCTGTGAGGTCATTCTAAGTATCATTATTATCAGTCACATTATTTACTGACAATCATTTATCCTCAACATAATTATTAATTATTAGTAACTAGAATTCATCATGACGTTGGTGTGTGTATATGTCTGTGTACATTTTTACACTCCAGACAGAAGACCTACCTGTAGTATGAATATTTTTAGATTGATGTATTTACTAAGTTTTGACCAAAAAAAATTATAACAGTTAGAGAACCATCGAAAATCAGAAAGGAGTACTGGATAGGCGTTTCGTCCTAGTTTGGGACTTGTCAGCGATACGCAGCCACTAACCTGGTTTCGGACCTAGGCCTCTCCGGTTACAAGGCAACCTCGTAGACCACTTAACCACTAGGATTACACTCAGTGATCCATGGGCTCTAACTCCTACTTATTCATGATCTTTAGCGTGACTGTCAACAGCCAATGTCATCGGTGAGCAGTTTTACTCACTCTCGACCGGGTGGACCCCACTGGTCACGACTTATGACTAGAACTCTAAGCAGCTTCGCCCTGTGACCACTTACTAGTGAGCATCAGGTTAATTTTCAAAAGTTAATTTGTAAGGTTTTGATCTGTTTCAAGTTTTGACCATGGATGATGGTTGATTCGACGTCTTATTGATGAAACCAATAGATATTTGATGAATTTTTTAGCATTTTTCAGTATTGTTTTTGTATTGTTCGTTCCATCCTTCTTTACATCTATGAGACACGACTGTTCAAAGCGGAAGATACGAAGAGGTTATATGTATTTGATCATAGATGTATGCGTTCTGCCAGTCATGTTAAGTGGCTTAATATTTGTGAGTAATACTGACACAGAGTGTTAGGTAAGGAAGGAACGTTGAGTTGTCTCCTACCTCATCAAGCAATGTTAGCTAACATCGCATTTCATTGGAAAAGACATATAGGTGATCAAATAAAAACCTATTATTCATTTTATGGGATGGGATTGGTAGCCTCACACTCAAACTTCCTCCCTTTTTGTGTTTACTACTTCCTAGGTAAGGGGAAAGAGGAGTGCAAAGAATGAATACACTCAGGCTACTGAAAATGGCTTCCAGACATGCCATCAGCAGTACTAAGCTATTGGTTCCTATCGTCCCAAGGACCTCAACCAGAGGGTTTACACCTTCCTACATATCCCAAACTAACCGTTAAAGTCTTCATAGACTGATGCTAGATTTCAATTTGACCACCCCCTGACGTCTTTACAACTTAATCCTATGTCAGATAACACTACTCGTTGAGGAAGGAGATGGTTTGGAATGCATAACACATCTCCTAGCCATAACTTCATCGACTGGCTTACCCCACTTATCTAAGACACTATGCTTTACTTGAATATTACTCACCATATCATACCATTTTACATTGGGGTAGCTAGTCTTTTAATATCATCCACTTTCAATGAACATATCTCACAGCGATAAAAGAGGACAGAGTGAACTACTGCGTAGTACCTACGTCCTTTAACCATTAGCCGGATATCGCGTCTACGCTAGAGATGAAGTAAGTTGGCAATCGCCACACGAGCCTTTTGTATTCTTGCTGAGATTCTGTCAGCAATCAGTCCATTAGGTTTGATGCAACTTCCCGAACAAGTGGTCAACACGCCCTACCACTTCCCTCCCTATCTTTAAGCTTCCAGTCGGTGTAATCCACTCCGGAAGCATCATCATACATTTGTAGTGAGGCTGCTCGAGGGCCAGAGAAGTAATTCACAGACTACTGTCCCGAACTACTGTCCACTACTCTGAGATTTTCATTTCATCTTTAGTCATCACACCATTTTATCTGTTGTTCTTATCATTGTGATCTTTAATTTTCTGCATCGGTTTTGTGTTTTTTCAACATGAATAGGTTTATCATCAATTCGACCTGGATATACTGGAGGTCAGCTATCAGGCGGTTATTTAAAGACAACTAGTCTACCAATAAATTCATCATTTGGCAGTTGTCTAAGATCCTCGAGTACAAATTTATCGAATGGTCATTCGAAAACAGTTACACTAAATGGAAGTATTCGATTCGATGATAAATGTGAGTTAATGGATTTGTTGTTTTCTCTTTGGCTTTTACATTTCTCCGTACTAGTTTACAGACAAACACACACCTTAAAGGTAACCATTGAATGAAATCACACGTCAGGATCTTGAGTGGGACCTGATTGGAGAACAAGGAGTTGAGTGCAGGTCTGAGGGTGACATGGAGAAGGTCATATGATGTTGGGAAAATCAAAGCTTATAGGCAATCACGGAGCCGGATTAAAAGAGACTGTACAGAGCAGTGTGAAATGATGATGTACCTCTGAAGCCCTATGTTCCACTTGGATCCCAAGTGAAAAATAGTAATGATATAGGTAATACTGTAACAACAGAAGACAAGGGCCAGGCAACAGATCGTTCATTTAGGAAATCAACAGATATTTATAGATTTTCATGTACATTATTATAGATTATTGTAAGCAAACAAATACAGTCTTCTGATTGGTGGTTTTTCACTGAACGCTAATCTTTCATCTGTTTGTGGCCGTTTCTTGAAGTTCAGATTATCTATCCGCTGACTGTATCCGCCTACGCAAAGTCTGCTATGATTGGTTGTTGAGTCAGTCTTTGTTCTTATTTTTCTCATGACCAATACTGGGGACGTAAACATTGACGTCAATTACTGTCTAGCAATTTTGGATAGCAGCCAGCTCTCACCACAATACGTCGTATTTTATGTTGTTTCAACACTCGGTCGAAATAGCCACCAATAATTTTATAATCAATTAATTAGATATCCCCATAGTGTAATCAGCACAAGATAATTTTTGACCGAACAATTGTTTTCGATAACTTCTTCTTCAGGCTCTACAGTTATAAGTCCGTGAATATTAAAATACAAATATCCAGTGAAGCCAAATGAAAATTATATCAGGAACTATATTGGTATACATGTATAAGATAGAATGATAGCCTGTTAGTCAACACTGTCAGTTGGATGTATAGAAAATGTGCAGTCAATCAAAATAAGATAAAATGTGAATAGTTTGGTCACGGATTCATATTAATTAGAGAACCGTTGAAAACTGGGGAGTACTGGACATCTGTTTCCTCCGTCGCAGTTTTGGATTTCGCATCAGTACCCACCCACCGGGATTTGAAACCAGGGCTTTCCAGTTACAAGGCAAGCTCGTAGACCATTCAGCTAATAGGACCCAGCTCAGTGGCCCATGAATTCTATCTCCTACCAATTCGTGATCTATAGCGCGACCACCAACCAATGTAATAGGCGGGAACTCCTTCCTCACTCCCGACTAAATGGACCTCACTGGTCACAACTTTTCACTAGAACTCCAGGAAACTCCATCCTGTAGCAAGTCACTAGCAAGTAACAGATTAATCCTCAAGAGCTGGTAGAAGTTAGAATTCATGGGCTGGCATTGAGTCGGGTCCCAGTGTCTGAATGACCTACGAGCTTGCCTTTAACCGCAAGGTCCTGAGCTCGAAACCCAGTGGGTGTGCACCGCCTATGAGTCCCAGTACTCCTTGCTGGTTTTCAATAGTTCTCTAACTGATATCAGTCCGTAGTCAAACTCAAAAACAAATCACTTCTTGAAAATTCCATAGCAGTCTTATCTAAATCAACACCAATGAAGTTGAAAACATACCTTTCAGGGTCATTGGGAAAATAGGATTCAGATGTTTGTGTTTCAAATCCTTTTATTAGTTGGATTCGTTTTTTAGTTTGTCTTTCTTCAACCTCTTTTCTTTGATTTCTTTCTTTTACAGCGAAATTATTAAATGGTGACAGTCTTAGACATACTGTTCAAAATTTATCCGATTCTGATAATCGAACTGCTACGGTGGAATCGATAAGAATTTATTCACCAATTGATGATGATAATGCCAACAATAATAATAATACATCAATGAATGGCATCTCATCAAATTTATCTAAGCTTAACATTAAACACAGTACTATACCTAATGGTCATTCACATCACAATGGAGATTCAAGATATAGTGATGATCGTCGATTAATTGGATCAAGTCCCAGCCATCCAAGTGTTCTATTAATGTCTTCATCACCTAGTGCTGTATTCCACCAGAAAGTAACACCACCTGCGCCTAAAGTGAGTCAAGAAAAGTTTATGTATGCATGAACATGTGAGCTTGTGTTTGAGTGTATTCAGTGGGTTAGTGAATCTTATAATCCATTGAAAACCAAAGACAACTGTTTCATCCTAGTCTGAGACTCTTCAGCACTACACACCCATCACTCAACCTTCAGGGGCCGAACCTAGCGCCTTGAGGTCACACGAGGTGAGTTGGTTAACCTTTCGGTCACTAGGAGGAGATCCCATAGAACAGGAATTCTAACTTCTGCCAAATCGAAATCTGTGTGCCCGAAGGCTTAGGTTTAATGGATATAAGCGTTACGGATTTGGAGGTTATTGTTAAGAAGTCGTACACTTAGGTTTCGCGCCGACAGCAAGGCGTATTTCCAGCCTCGAAGGAACTCATATCTCCTCAGAGATTCTAACCTTCGTCACCCAAACCTGAAGCTAGAGACAAGTAAACATTGACAGAAATAGGGAAATACAAGAGGTTGATGGTATAAAACATGTTTGTAGTTCTGTCACAACTCTCTATAAGTACTATTTAATAAAAGTACGCTTACGTAATTTTGACATTTAACAGATTAACCGGCTCAGTGGTTTCAGACATGTTACCAGGACTTTGAAACTGAGAGAACTACTAGTGAATTAGAATTGTGACGTACCAACTTATTCCAATGTATCAGAATAGTACAACAACATGTTCTATATCATCAACCCACTGATACTAATTTTATGTCATTGAAAGATCAAAAGGAGTTTGAGCAGTGTCAGACTCATTATTTACAAATTATACCGCTTAAGGTGAAAATGTATGACAATTTTGTTAAAACATCTAAAATATTCAGTTCACAATACATGACCTGCTTGACACCAGCACAGATAATACGGCGAATAGGAATGAATAGTACTCACTTCAAACCATCCGAATTCTCAATTATTGATTTGCAGAGATTTTATTGATTTCAAGTTATCTGACGAAATGATATCAGTTAGCGAATCATTGAAAATCAAACGTTTCTTAGTGTGACACTATTCAGCAGTACACACTCAGGGTATTCAGATTACAAGGTGAGACTTCTGACAGAATCTAATACCCTATGAATTTCAGCAACCACAAGTCAATGTCATTGGAGTGTAATAACTCTCACAGTCACCTTGATATACCCTACAGGTCACAGCTTGTCACTAGTGACTGTCTACCGGATGAAATTGCCTGTGTTCCTAGTGAGAAGTCCAACAGTTTGCCTCGTAACCTGAATGTCCTTGTTTCGATCCCTGGCACCGAGGTCATGGATGCTTACTTCTGAAGAACCTTAAAACTGCTATGAAACAGCTAGCCAGTAATTCCTGGCTTTCTTTCAATGTTTTTACGAGTTGATCACGGATTGATATCAGTTAGAGAACCATTGAAAACCAGCTGGGAGTACTGGACAGCTGTTTTATCCTAGTTTTGGGAATCATCGGCAGTACGCACCCGCCACAAGAGGTTCGAACCCAGGACCTTCCGGTTACAAGGCAAACTCGTATACCATTCAGCCACTGGGACCCGACTCAGTAGCCATTCCATGAATTCTAACTTCTACCAATTCGTGATTTAGCGTGACCCCAACCAATGTCCTTGGTGGGACATCCATCCTCACACGTGACATCTGGTTGAACCTCACTGGTCACGACTTCTCACTAGAACTCCAGGAAACTCCACCCTGTAGCGAATCACCAACGACATTGGTTGGGGTCGCGCTAAATCACGAATTGGTAGAAATTAGAATTCATATACTGGCCATTGAATTGGGTCCCAGTGGCTGAATGGTATACGAGCTTGCCTTGTAACCGGAAGGTCTAGGTGCGTACTGCCTATGATTCCCAAACTAGGATGAAACAGCTGTCCAGTACTCCCTGTGGCTGATTTTCAATGGTTCTCTAACTGATATCAATCCGTGATCAACTAGTAAAAAAACATAACTAACCCTTACAAATCAAACTATAGAAAATTTCTTTCAATGGTTTTCTATCTGATATCAGTCGGTGGTCTAACTATATAGCCGAACTTTATTTTTCGGTCTTTATACCAACCAATTTGATAGTCGGGATTTGCTTGAATTGATGAAACTGACTATGCGTTTTATTCTTCATAGTTTGCTGACTCATATACATGTCATTTTGTGAATTATTATCATTATTATTACCGATACTGCTGACTATATTTATATTTACCAATTATTTTCTAAAAATGACTTTTTGACACACACACAAATCATGACTGATTATACATGCGCTTGTCATGCAAAAAGCAGAAGATAAATCTCCGGATTTATGTCTGAATTATAAGACTGGTGATTCTAGATGAGATTATTCTTACATGTTTTAACACCAATCATCTATCATTATTATTAGTTGACATTTTTTTCCCTTGAAGGCAATCCGAAAATTAGAATATGTCAAACTATTTATAAATAACATTGACACCATAAATTTGGTTGAATAAGAGAATGTTATTTAGCGGTAACAGTGTTAACATTTTATAAATTATGTTTTTGACAGCATTCCTTGCCTCTCGTTTCTTCCTTCATTGGTGGCTTTAATTAGTTAAATATAAAGCGTTTATTGAAAAAAGAAACCAACGCATTCTGCTAATAAATATTTAGACTTTAATTCATCACCTCATCTGTTAACTGCCTCTACAAGCTGGCTTAGTTAAGTACCTAACAAATCGAGCAATAGCACTAAGTAGCACAATAAAAAACCTAAATGATGAAATAAAATAGATAGAAGAGGCTTTGGTGTTAAATAACTATCCTATAGAATTCATTAGGAAGATCACAAAGCCCAAAAACAAAATAAAAATAATTGTGGAACTAGTAATGATAACATAAATAACAAAGAATATAAGGGACATCTGAGACCCTACTTAGGATTCTTAATAAAGCAGGAATCAGAGTGGCATTCAAACCTACAAACTCACTCAGAGACAAGCTCTGTAGGCTAAAAGACTGGGTGGACCCGAATTAAACAAAGTAATGTAATTTGCTAAACACCTTGCAATGACTGTGAGGTCAACTAAATAGGTCAAACTAGTAGATCGGGGGTAGTCAGATTGTCAGAACATAAGAATTTAGCTAAGGTAAGCATGGTTGACCCCGACTTGATTAATTTAGAAAAAAGCTCAGCAATTGCACTACATGCATTAACACAAAACCACACAGTAGCATGGTAGGAGAGGGTTTTCCAGTGGTTCTCTAACTGATGTCAGCTCATGAAGAAATCCTCCATGCAATATGAGACGATATTAAATAGATTTGTAGACCAACAATGATGATGGTGAGACGAAAATCTTTGCCATGAACACATTCGAACGACCAGTTCCTGGTAGGTGTAATGGTTAGTGGTCGATCAGCTGACCTACAGAAGACCCGATCGACTATAATGAAATGATGACTCGACTAACAGTTGAATCTTGTAGCTCAATTTGATATGCAAAGTGTTTTACTAGTAATACAAATTAAGAACATTGACTAATCGATTTTGTCTTTATTAAAAACATAATTTTAGATTATATCATATGAAGAATTGAAAGGATACAAGGGAGTATATCCTAAGGGAATAGATAGAACTGCATTAGAGGTAAGTGGGTGTTATATGAATGTTATTCTTTAATTTTCAAAAGATAACTAATGAGATAGTCAATTAGGATAATTAACCTTTTTTGGATTGCCTATTTTCGTAATTAAAATATGGCTTATTACTGTGAGTGTGTGCATATTAGAATAGTGTTTGCATCACAGTGATCAAATACGCTGTATTGTGTATACACATGTGTGTACAACATACTGTCGGTTGTCAGAAGATGAGCGTACTTTGGAGAAACTCGAAGATGTACAGGCGGAAACCAACAAGTTGGTAGATGAAGCAGCGAATATAAGACTTCCGGTGAACACAGAAAAGACAGACTAGATGAAGATACCTAACGAACAACAACAGCAACACAAGCACCAATCACCATCAATGAGGGAATTCGTAATGAAGACAACTCTTCCACACTAACTTGACTGGATAGCCTCATTTCAACTACTGGCGGAAGCACGGATGAAGCCAGTCAGGATGGGGGCTACAAGACATACGTTCCTTAATCTGAAGTAATTGTGCGTATCCACTACACTCATCATAATGAATAAGATTCTGATTTTCAACACCCAAATGTCAAGTCAGTCTTTTTGCATAGTTGAGAGATTTAGCGCGCACATCACTAAAAGAATTTCTAACTAGCTACTGTAGACGTTCACCAACAGATACCCACCCCGTTGGCTGTATACTGCAGATGGAATAGCCAGCAGAGAAAGATAAACAATCAGTAATTTTGTTGGGTGGTGACCAGCAATGGAATCCAGGATGCACACTTCGTCCTATTTGGGACTCGTCATCTGGATGTACCTACATTTCCAGTGAGTAATGGTGTTCCCATTGAGACTCAAACCGAGTACCCATCGTGTTTCAAACGTCAGCGTGGTATCCGCTAGATCACTTGGCCCACGAAGACTGAATTAAAAACAAGTAATTCTGGTAATAAACCATCCAAGGAGATTTAGTCCAACAGATATGCAGAAGAAAATGGAGACGGATTGGATATACACTGCGAAGACCATTAAGTGACATCGCACACCAAGCTGTCGAGTTCAGCACGAATGAGCAACGACGAATCAAGCGTCTGATGGTGACATGAGGAAGATCATGTGAAGATGAGAGGAGAGGTAAGCTTATGAACAGTAGTGGAGCCAGCTGACAAGAACTGCAGACAACGGTGCGATATTCCACTCGGAACCCAAGGGAATAATAATGATAATAATACAACTGTACCTATGTTAATGTTGATTTAAATCAATTATTATTATCACTGTTCATGCCTTACTTTACTAGTGGAATCTAAGTCTTCAGTGGCACATCTTCATTGCACTGGGTTCTCTTCCATCATTTTTTTGCTTCACTATCCCAGTGGAACATAGGGCTTCAAGCTAGTGGCTTGAAGTTTCTGTAGCAGTGCTTATTTTGCAGGATGGGGTTGCTAGCCTCATGCCAAACCTTTCCTCTTCACCAGCATGATTTCTGGCTTAGCGAGGTAAAGGAGTAAGTCGGCCGTGGATCGAACCCCGGACCATGTGCATGGTCGGCGAGCGTCCTAACCGCTATGCCACCAGCTAGCAATCTCTAATTTCTTCTTCTTCCTCACATGATCTTGTCCATCACACTTACGCATACCCAACAGGTTGCTTCCCGTTCAGGCTCCATTTGAGGGTCCGCTTAACCTTTCTGCAAACTTTTTCAGCAATAGGTTGTTAGCTAGTTCATTGTCTAACAGAGTTCCTTTTTTTACCTATCCTGTGAGAGGAAGTAACAGTAAGAGGTTATAGGTATTGATCTTTATGAAGTTATTTCTACCAACTTCAACATTATTTGAACCTCTAGGTTGCCGATGGGGAGGGGGTGGAGGAGAGTATACATATGAACTTAACAAATCCCAGGAGAGACAAAAAGAAAGCAGAAAACAATGCCTACTTTTATGCTCGATTAAATTTATCCTATACGGCTGTCAGTCTGTGTTGCCTTTAAATTCTTAACGGAAAAAATAGCCTTAGGTGAATTTAAACTTCCTGACAAACAGACGGTGAAAAAGCGTGAATGATTAATCGAACATAGCATAGCCTATTTTCTAATGTAAAAAGCAATGCAAGACAGATATACACTCATTTAAGCTTTTAAACTTGTATAGCCATCAATACACCGATATAATGGGATGACTCATCATTAGGTCAAAATGTTTGAGAGGAGAAATGACGACGACAGAATGAAAAAGGCAAATACGGAACAAAACGACAGACGGAATGAGAGAGACAGAGACAGAGAGGAGAAGAGGGAGGTAGAAAACTGGAAAATAATTCGAACCGAAGCATATATATAGTCAACAGTGTGTGTTGACCTTACACATCTATCGATTCTATTGCCTATAGGATATGGTTGGTATTCAAATTAATCAGATTGAATGGGAATTCCTCTTCTTCATATTTTTGTCATTTATTTATCTGATTCATTAAAAATGAATGAGTAAATGATTGAGAAGCCGTGAACAACAAACAGTGTGATTCATTCGATTTTGATATACACACGAAGAGTTTTTTATCAGAAGTTTTTTTAGCATGAAAAACTTGTCATATATAGGTCAAATGGTGAAGTGGGTAGACACATCTGGAAATGATGATTCATTCTGTAACAGACATTCACACGCACACATTTATGTTTATTTATTTCATGTAAAGATGAATTGGGTTTTTAGAATGAAGTTGTTGCCGTTTATTTAGATATATAAATATATAGGAGATTTTGGTTGGATTTTAAGATGAATTTACAAGTCAGATGACAAGCTGATATCAGTTAGAGAGCTATTTGATCGCTGGAAGTGGGGACCATAGATGCGTACTGATGAGGAGTCCTGGACTAGGACGAAACAGCTGTCCAGTACTTCCTAGTTTTCAGTGGTGTCACCTGGTGATCTGATCTGAGACCTATGAAATCACTGAGAACCAATACTTGAAGACGGATTTCGGTGAAGAAATCGATGAAATAAAATGATGCTATGCACTTGTGTGTTTTTAGAATTTTAAATATATTTGTGCGTTGAAATTTCTGTAGCTATTTGGTTAAGTTTTGCGTGTGGAGTTGCTAGCACCACGCCCCAACCCTCCCTCTTTATCCGGGCTTGGGACCGGTTAGAAAACTAGTGAGCTAGTAATCTAGGCGAGGTCAGTTCTTCTATACGGATCAGAAACTTGGTGGGTCACAAAGAATATTTCAAACAGGTTGCAGACCTTTATCAACAGCTGTCTTCGCTCTATACTCAAGATCAGATAGCCGGAAAGAATCACCAACAAGAAACTATGGGAACAAACGAAACAAGAACCAATCGCTCAACAAATATGCAGGAGAAAGTGGAGATGGATTGGACACTCGCTGAGGAGACCGCTGGGTGACATCGCGCGTCAGGCCAGTGCTCGAGTGGAACCCGAAAGGGAAGCGGCGAGTGAGACGTCGAAGGGTGACATGGAGGAGATCGTGTGAAGAGAAGTTGAAACAGTATGGAATAACATGGATGCAAGTGAAAAGTACAGCAGAAGACAGAAGCAAGTGGAGATGTGCAGTTGAAGCCCTATGTTCCACTAGGAACCCAAGGGAACAACAGTGATAATAATAATGCACTTGTGTGTGAGAGAGAGCTAATAATTCTGCTTAGCTAACCTATCGTCGATAAGGAGAAGGGGATTTGAATTCGTTGAAAATTCAGTGCCTAGACTATTGAACTCTAATAGCTCTAAATGAACAGGAGCTGCAAGTGATTGATCATTAGATTTTCGACTGATTGGTTAATTCGGGTAATTTCCTGAACATGAAATCTGATTGTCTTGAGTTGAACCTTCCGATAGAAAGCTATCTTCGGTTTCTCGTAATATTGAAGAGTTACAAATAATGAAAAATACAATAACTGTCTACTACCCATTGGTTTATGTACGAACAACTGATGTTGTAATCTACCTTTCAAGGATGAAGTAGAGATTTTTTGAATTTAAACACTATGGATCAAAGCAGAATACAGGATTCTGATATTGTGAAAACACATACATTTACCGCCATTTGTAAACATAATATGGAATAATATTTTCTTAGAATTAAAACATAATGGAACATTTCACTATCTTCTAAAGTTATATGTGAAGTAGTAACTATAATGAAGTCACCTAGTGTGATGCGAAAGAAATTCTTAATAGATGTCAAAACTTTAGGAACATTATTATTATATATTAAATACTCCTTGTGGAATAATAAATTATATATATATATGTGGCTCAGGTGAGTGTTTTTGATGTATTTTCGCTTTCTGAGCTGGATAATTTATTTATATATAGCACACAAGCGGGTAACTATTCTCCCTCCAGTATTGGTGGATCACGTTGGTTACGACTTTTCAGTAGAATAGTTACTCGCCTATGATATTAGTTTGTAGTTGCGCTCATTAACGCGAATCTGCAGAAGCTAGAATTTATGAGCTTTTGGTTTGCTTTGCAGTGGCCGTAAAGTTCTTAGTTCCAACCCCAGAGGGTGTGTTCTTATGAAGACTCAGAAACTCGGATGAGACAGTTCTCCAGTACTTCCTGGTTTTCCAACCGTTCTCTAACTAATGTCAGTTTGTGATCAGACCTGTGACCAATCAAATCCCTGCAAACCAACACTCTAGAATGCCACAATCTTTTTGTAGTATTACTGACCCACTTAACCGGGTATATTGCATAGACGAGTGGTCAGTGGGTTCTAATTAATTAGTAATGAACCTGCATGTTTTCAGGATGTGACTTTATACTGTGTTGACAGATTTTTTTAATTATAATTCACATTTTTCAACACAAATTTTCAGTTATAATTTCAGTGTTTTGTTATCATAAAATGTTAATCAAAAGTTTCCTTTCTTTTTACTCTTCCATCACCCATCGATTCTGCACTGGTCGGGCGCTAACACATCACTGTGTTGTATATAGGCACATTTATCAGATGAGGAATTTCATCAAGTCTTCTCACTATCTCGAACAGTATTCTATCGTCTTCCTGAATGGAAACGTAATGATTTAAAGCGTAAAGCACAACTTTTTTAAGATTTTTATCTTCACTCCTCTATGACACCCGTCAATCTCTCCTTTCGAAGGAAAAAAATTTTAAGGAGAAGAAAATTCAATAAATAACCTTTAGATTCTATATGACATCATTTCGATACGACCTTGTAATACTATTGATTCTCTTGAGTTTGAATCTGCCTCCTCCTCCTCCGCTTCGATTCCCGCCCAAGCCACCTGTTCCTTTCCTACCCCCCCCGCCTCTCCCATCCACCATTATGCACAATCCAACAGGAAAAAAAATGAAAAAAAACACAAACTTATTTTTTCGTAGAAACAAGGAAAAAAAGAAGTTATGTATTGAGAGAAAAGAAATGAATTATTTTACCTAGTTTTCTGTCTTTCTATTACATCGTATTTACTCCAAATAATTTTTCGTGAACTTTCGTTTTATGTTGTGTTACACACTGTACTTACTCTACTCTGCATAACATTGATCAGTTTTAAATATAGAGTAAAAGGAAAACGAAACTTGATCTATTCAGGATGCTTTGTTTATATTTGAATCGTTTTCCTTTACTTCCTCACTTTCTGTTGATTTATTTATTTATTTATTTTTGCTTTTCAACATCTCTTTCTGTCGTCTCATCTTTTCGTTTTGTTTGTTGTTATTTTGAAAACAAACAAAAAAAAAGAGAGAAAAATACTAACAAACTTTGATGGAAAGAAGATGTTCCTTTTTGGTGTTATCCCGGTTCATACAAAAATTTGCTTTATTCGTCATTCAGTATTGTTGTTAAACATAGAAGTGGCGTAGTTAAGGTGTACTTGGTGCATGACGCACATTTTTCCTGTTAAATCAACCGCTATTTTCTGAAAATATGTGAAGTATCATTTACTTACATGAATAAACAAAAAGTTATGCTTTCAATGGGTGGCTTGATCAATTGGTTCATCAGTGCTGTCTTGATGTATCTTGTATCGCACTCTTTTGTTTTAGTTTTTGTGTAAATACTACTTTAAACCTATCTTTATACACTTAGCTTTCAGTTATTCATGTTGAAAGTATTCATTCTTCTATTTTTGTTTAAAATGAAGAAGACATTGAATTTTGAATGTGTTTACACTTCTGATCAATCGAGTAATTCATGCAATAAATAGAGTGATATTTTACAAAGGGGTTGTCACATGATTTACAAATGAATACATGTCGTTAAATCGAGTTTTGTTGATCCAGTCATTAATTTAGTAGTGGTTTGTTTATGGCAAGTGAGAAAGCTGACTAAGTTTTAAATTGTTCAATTTTCCAATAACCTCTGGCTTATTATTTTCTTAGCTTCTTTTTAAGTCCTTCTCACTTGTCTGTTTTATTTACAATTTGTCAAGATTATTTTACACTGTTTTGACTTGTTTTCAGTTATCTCTTCGCTTAGTTTTAGTATTGAGAACCATAAGTTTACTGTTAAATGTTGTGTTTAAATGTATTATTTTTGCGCGGTACTTGGATTCAAAATGAACTTCAGGGAAATTCAAATTTTTGTTTTAATGGTATGATACACCTAGATGCGTATATTCAGCGTTTGGTCTTTACGTATAAAATCAATCATATTTTACTTATTTTATTTCCATTCTTGTTCATGAAATTGTACTGTTTACCACCAGTTCGTATTTTTGTCAATACAGTAGAGTAATTCGATAAGTAAGGTTCAATTATGCTAATGTTCTCCGTCAAACCATATATATATATATATATATATATATATATATTTATAACGATAATAATATTGTCTACAACAAATACAGTTTGATGCAAGGTGAGTAAGATAGGCAGACGAACGGGTGGAATACTCAAGCTCTGAAAGTTGAAATACGCTAACCAATTTTCTTTTTCATCTATTTACTTATCTCTTTATTTATCATTATAAGTATGGTTATCATTAGAAACAGATATTTATTTGCTCACCTTCACCATTATAAACTATTGAACACTGAAACATTTTAATTTATTTTTCTTAATCTATTTGCATGTTGTTTATGTGAGAGCGAAATTCAAAATTTGTCCTCCTCAATTTTTTGCTATATCATACAATTATATGTATTTGTGTGTTTGAGGAGAATATTATAGATGTATATTTTCAACTTTTAAAGTCTATAGAAGTCCTTAATACCACCTTGAAAACACTTTACAGTGTGTTGTGTTAGTTAGAAATGTGTGTGTGATTAACTTTAAAATGACCGTATTCAAGAGCATATTGAATTGAGTTTAGCCCTTAAATAACTTCGTTTTTTTTTCTCTGTTTCGTTTGTTTGTTCTCTTCATAATATTCTTGTATCATTATTATTATTATTATTATTATTATTATCAGTATCATTGTCATCCTTTCGTTTGATAAGTTGAATAATGTACTTTGTATATATTATATATAATAAAAGTATTCTGTAAAAGTTTACATTTTGCGTGTTTTATCCTTTTTAAGACCATCTATGAGAAATGACTAGGTTTTTAAATGATATTTACTGGTGACATTATTATGTAGTATGTAGTTCAGAAAGGTAAGATGTTTCTAGAACTGCTTTCCATGGACCGGTGTGTACACGATATTTCTTGTGTAACTGTAGGCACCTACCCACCCACCCATTCCGCATATATTGAACTACTTCAGTTGATATCAGAAAGCTTATATTGGACTATAGTTTGACTGGAATGTACAATCCATCGTGGAGACTGCTGGCATTGTCTTGTGGACGCATAAGAAACTCCTTTCCCATTATTTTGTTAGACCATAAGATGACTCAAAAGGGAAATAAAGAAGGAAAAACAAAGTGCTCTAAGATGGAGGTAGATGGAATCCATTAGCTGGAGAAGAGTGTGGGATGGAAGCTATATAAGAACTAGCCGATCTGTACTGATCATCATGTCAGCTACGAATATAACGCTTCGTTGTATTGTTGTCGGTATTCCAGGCAAGAGCGATTTGATAGTTATTTGCGCAATATATTTCTACAACTCGTGCCTGAAAGGACGCAGTTCTCAACCTGAGACCTAGTGTTTGCGGTTTTGACTGAATGGTGTTTACTTCCTTAGGGATGATTGAAGTCCGTTAAGTAAGGTGTAATAGATAAATGAATAAATGAATATCCATACTTCTCTCGATTCACTCAAGCGTCTCACAAGAACCTATTTCAGAGGTTAGTTAATTCTAGACTGGTGCATTTTACAAAGAAGTACTGAGTCCTCATATTCTGTCTATTACTAACCACTTTAGGCAGATAAGACTTATTTAAGGTTAGCCGACACTGTCAAAATATCAGTGTGATACGGATTCTGAACACCAATGAAGGGATACAGTAAGTTGTCATTGACCCTTCCTAACTACTGAGGTTATAATTTCAGTTGAATACATTTGTTAATACAGTCCGCTTGTTTATGTTGGCTCAATAAGTTTCATAAAAGGTCTTTGCCTATCTTCAATGTCTTGTAGATAACTAATCTGGATTCCGAATTAGAAATTTACATGGATCTTGTGAATACTCAAAAAGTATATTCACATAATCGGGAAACATTCAATCAGAACATTTAACCCCAAAACCGTATGACTTATGTTAGACTTTTAAGTGAGCTGCAGTACATATAAGGGCGTGTTTTTAGGTTTCTAGTGCCCAAAGTAGGTGTAAGGTAAGTTGTCTTTTAAACTCTACTTAAATGGTCAGTCTAGACCCTGTTCAGTTTTACTTTCAAAATTTATGAAATTTTAAGCATGAAAGTCACACCCTATTTTCAAAACACTTGTAAAGAAGTGTGGCTTAAATTAAGTGATTGAGAAAACTGCGTTATCTATGAAGAATAGAAATAAGGTGGAACCTAGAGAGCCTCCTAACCTCGCTTAGCTTATTAGCAGGTCCTAAGCCTGGTGATCCCACCCTGGCAAATCGATCTAATCATTACGGGATACTTCAAGCAGAGAAAACAAAAAGAATAAAACTTAACGTCTGCTGAAATCGCGGAGATGAAATGATTGAGGCTAATGGAAGCTTTCGAGAAGCTAGTTAACCGACATGTCTTCTTCCGTTCAAAGCAAGAACAAGCATGGAGACTTGGAATGTTCTGACCACATTTCAGGCTAACTAGCAAGGCTGATTAGATTGTAAAGGATTTTAGAATTGTTAGGAATCTGTGACAGCAGTTGGAATGAAAGTGAACTCTCCAAACTGCAACCTGGAAATTCAATAAACTACTCCAGTCATCTAGGCTACAACCACGAAAAATCTAAGGGACTGGCTACTCTGATGTCTCCGACAGGACTGAAGGCTATTAATCTGTGTGGGCCTATATCCTTCAAGATAATGACGGTAAGATTCAGCTCAAAAGGTGGGAAACTTGCAATTATACGATGCTATGCGCCTACAGATTACACTAGCCTAGTGGAGAAGGGGTAAGTCTAAAAAACAGCAAACAGTAAAAGACATGATCAAAGCTAGATGGCGATGTAAAAATTCTAATAGAAAACGCCAATGAGAAACCGGGGTGAAGGACAAAAGTGAAACACAACTCTTGGTGGGTCACGAGATTGAATGATAATGAACCTAAAAGCATCGACTGAAGTTCAGTACTCCGAGGAGGCTTAGACCAAGATGAACTTTAGCCGAAAATAGGATTATATTGTAACCACAGAAGACAAGGGCCAGGCAACAGATCATTTATTGATAAAATCAACAGATATTTATAGATTTTTACGTACATTATTACTCGTTATTGTAAGCAGAGAGATGACGTCTTCTGATTGGTTGTTTTCCTGCTGAATGTTATTCTGTCATCTCTTTGTTGCCGTTTCTTAGACACTCCGTTGATATATCTGCTAATTGTATCTGTTCACGCTAAGTCTGCTGTGATTGGTCGTTGAGTCAGACTTTGTTATTGTCTTTTTCTCATGACCAAGATCTGGGACGTAAACATTGACGTAAATTGCTGTCTACCAATTTTGGCTAGCAGACAGCTCTCACCATGTTGAGTAGGCAAAAATTAGTTATCATTTGGCCATTAG